GGTACAGGAGGAGATTGTCCCTCCTTTCCCGGCAGAGCATCTGGTGGATTCGAACCATGCTCCTCTGGGATTGCAGTGCAGCTTCTTGCCACTAGGCCACCAGAGCTCCCCTGAGGGGCAGGTTTTTATAGCAGAGTCTTAAGGGAGGACAGAATACATTCCTGGCAGATACCCTTCCCAGTCTTGAACCATGCAGTGTCTCCTTGCTCTGTTCAACTGCCTCTTGGTTCAAGTATGGGTTTTGCATAAGTACAATCAAACGTTCTGGGATTCCCGTTCTTCTTAGAGTCAGCCACAGTTTGTTGTGATCCACACAGTCACAGATTGGTCCTCTTATTATTCTCTCCTTTATGCCAAGAGTCATCTAACATTAGCTATAACATCCCTAGTACCATGGCCTCTTCTAAACCCTCTCCTGTCAACTCCTGGAGCCTTGAAGAGCAAGGATGTCAAGCTGAAGACTATGGTGTGCCTGATCTTTCCATAGTCTTCTTGATTGCATGCTGTGCTGAGAGCCTGGATAGTGTCTAGAGATGATAGAGAATTGATGCCTTTGAGCTGTGGTGCTGGAGAAGAGTGTTGAGTATATCAGAGTGTTAGGAGAACAAACAGGTTCAACCTAGTGAGTGTGAAACCAGGCTGCTCCTTGGAGGTAAGGATTCTGAAGCTTTGTCTGACATGCTTTGGGCATGTTGCAAGGAGGGACCAGTCCTTGGAGAAGGACCTCATGCGTGGATGAATGGAGGGGACAGCACAGGAAAGGAAGACTGATTCAGTGATGGGGGTAATGGGAGGAGGTGTTTTGGAGACAGTGAAGTTGGCACAGGATAGAGCAGGGTTTAGGGCTTTTGTACATAGGGTCAGTGAGTTGCATGCCACTCAAGGGCACATAACAACAAACAAGGGAGGGACATTGTATTGTGGTTGATCTCTGAATCCTTTATTCTCCCCTATGACCTTGGGCCTAACAGTAACATGTCTTTTCATCTCTTGGCTGCTGGTGAGTATTATTTGTCAGTCCAAATAGAATGAAGCAACCTTACTTCATCTGTGAGGTTCCCTGTTACCAGTGGTGAGGATTTTTATTTTCTTATGTTGAGATGACAGCTGTAGTCCCTTTTATTTTTGTATATTCCTTTTTACTTTCTGCAAGCAAGGTTGTATGTTCTTCAGAGTGTGTTGAGGAATCTTCCTTAAGTCATGATGCCACAGTGTTCTTTATAAAGTCCAGCTGCTTGGATGATTTGCTAAGTATAGTTTCAATAGGTATGAAGAAAGAATACAACCCCGATGCACACCTTTGCTTATTTTAAACCTTGTAGTGTCTTTTATTCTGTTCACACAACTGCTTTTTGGTCTGCGAATGGTACAGTTTTGCCTGAGCACAATTGTTTTGAGATTCCCATTCTTTCACGCATAACATCACTAAAGAGATGTAGCCCTCTTGGTCTCTGAAGGAGGAATGGTGTGGCTTAGTCACCGTACTCACTTCTGTATTAGTCTTTTTTTTTTAACACAGTATGCTAAACAAACGATTTTTCTTTCTTTCTTTTTTTTTATTTTTCTTGACTTTTTGCAGCTGCGTTGAGTACTCTCGGTCACCCCCTCCGCAGTAGCATGATAGTTCAGACTTCATAATGCTTCTGCATGCTTCGTAGGTTACAGTGTGATGTAAACACTGTGTGTGCTGTGCTGTTAGGTAATGTGCACTGACCATGTGGACAGCAGATCTGAACCCTGTCCTATCTGCACTAAGAAACCAACAAAGTGGTACTTGTGATTTGCTTTACTGTAGTGGTCTGGGACTGCACCCACAGTGTCTCTGAGATACTCCTCTAAATGGATAGGAGCATAGAAAAGATGACCCAGGTGTACAGTGGTGAAGTGCTCCGTTGCTAACCAAAAATAAACAGCCACCTACTTCCACGAAGAGTGTTCTTGGGTGCAGTCAGGTTGCCTCTGACTCCGGGTGGCCCTCTGTCCAGCAGGAGACCCTGTCGGATTCTGCACCGTCCTCACCGGGGCACCAGCCTGCCATTCCATCCTGCTGATGGACATCTCTGCTTTTCCAAGCCTGATGTCCTTGGTGGGACACTTCTGTAGGGTCAGAATTGACTTGATGGCAGTAGAAATTTTTTTATGACAAACCCTGTACCAGGGGCCTCTCAGGGAGCATCTTTGTGAGCCTTTGCCCGTTGGGGTGGGTAAGGAGGCATGGAACCTGTTCAGGCACAGAAAGTGAACCCCAGCACACAGAACCAGTACATACGCCCCTCGCCTGTCTCCATGGCAGGAGATATATTTTTCCTCTGATAACCAATTGGCAGCATCAGGATGGATGGTGAAGAGATTGAGATTGTACACAGCTTTAGTTTGCTTGGCTCCACAGTCAACAGTCTTGGCACCAGCAGCC